GAAAGAGTTATTGTGTCGACGAGAAGTTTCTTATTTGCAAGCTAAATGTCATCTCGCCCTCTTTGAAATTAAAAAGAACGTCTTATTGTGGAATTTTTTTTAAAGAGAACTACATCACTGGAAATTTTTAAGGGGTATTGAATGACATTTTTATAAGCTAGAAAATTCAATTTACGAGAGAATTATTTTAGTGATAATTACTGAGCTCTTTGTAGCAATTATTTTACGTAAGTGATAAAATCTTTTTCAAGATTGTGCTTTGTCTCATTAAAACTTCTGAATGCCTACGAAGGACTCAGTGGTTTTCGCTCTGTTTTTAATTAAACCCGATTTAAAGAAAGTTTTCAGTAATACTCTAGCTGGCTGACAAGTTACTTTCGCAGTTCGCGTGCCGAGTAATAAGTGTTTTACTTACGAATAAAAAATTGCTATTGTTTGCGCTAAAAATACACAAAATACGTATTTTTGCGAGAGTACTCTTGGCACTGATACCAAAAATAAGTTTTTCCACCAGTTTGTCTCTGTTTATTAATTTTGTATGTAGTGTTAGGCCCTGTCCACACAATGCCGGAGGAATTTGAAGACGGAGGTCACGGTTTCACTCTGAAAACGGATCAAATCTTTTCCGTCCGCACTATGCCTGAGGAATTTGAAAACGCAACAATCACCGGTCATTTTGGATTTGTGTTTGAGGAAGCTCGGTCGGGGAAATCACATTATTATCGTGAAAAGCTCCGTTTTCAAAACGTTTTTCGTCCACACTAAAACGCAAAGTCGATGTGTTCAAGTTCCCCCGGTTTGAAGAGTGTTTTCGAAAAGCTCCGTTTTCTTGACGGATTAGTGTGGACGGTAGGCCTAACTGTAGAAATAAAGCTGTAGTGTGGACGAGGCCATATTCAAAAGAAAAGGAATGTGTTGGGTAATTGGTTCCCCAATTTATTTTCTCCTTAACTGACTATGTTATTTTTTCTCGCCAGATTAGCATGTGAAAACGTACGCAGGGCTCTCTAGCTTATTCACTTTTCTCTTCTTTTGATTTCAGCGCTCGACACAAACAACACTATGATTAAAAAACAGGTCTTCGAGCTCCTTTCAGCGCTGTGTCTTTATTCCAACCAAGGACATCAGCTGGCGATCGATGCTCTCGAGAATTACAAGGTAATTTGACGCAAAATATCTGAGCTTAAGGCATAGAATGGAAAATTATGAAATAAGACGGATTGGATCTCCACAGGTGTTAGCTTAAGGATTATCAACTAATTTCTCTTACAGTATCGCTGGCTGTGAAGTAGGCAGGTAATGAGAATGAGGAAACCCATCAATTATTTTATAAGGTTTATACTCGTAATTAACACTTGTATGGAATCCTTAGAAATTGAGAAAGCCAAGGACTGATCAGTTACAGGGAAGAACTCTAGCAAAATGGGATTTTGCCGGGTTAAATCGTAAGTCCTAGCCGCTTTTAACTCCTAGATGTTGCAAACAGAGGCCAGAAAACCTCATTGATTCCTCCGGAAAACCACAAGTAGACGAAGTAGTTATTACCCCGCTAAAGTGACCCTGAAATTCATTGCTAGGTTCTAGTTCGGCGAGAAATCTTTCAATTCGTTTTAAGAAAGAAAGAAATATAAAAAAGAAATGTAGATGAAACCTCGCGTAAGGCTCGAATTTTTTTAAATATCCTTCGTCTTTGGTAAGTATTTTTATTTGCTAAATATAGCTTTAATTGGACCTGAAATGTACATTAGTGCTAACGTCACAGTTTTTATCACTCTTTAAAACGCAGCTCACCAAAGGACAAAGATACAGATTTAGCTTAATCATCAACGAATTAAAAAATGCCGAAGTTGTGCCGTACATGACCACATGCCTGGCCTTCATTAACACCATACTAATAGCTACGGAAGACTTTGAAGAGCGCGTGAGACTACGGAACGAGTTTGCAGGTGAGAGGGAAAATCCCTAAGAAAAAAAGCAGGATTTGATTCACTGTTTTTGTGCTACGTATTTTTTCTTTGCTGGAATAGCTAACTTCCAAATCATGAAATTATTGACGTCCCTTGCAACCTAACAAAAAGCAAGACGGTAAAATAATGCGCTGCCATGAACAATTCATGCAAAATTAGATAGTGTTGATTTTGAACAATTGTCACAATATTGGAGTGAAAAACCTGAAGACCGTTTAGAATAGCAAACAAAAATCAACAAGATTCCATTTAATTTTCAGATTTGTAACTAGTAGCATCAGAAGAGTTTTCAACTGCGTGTGGTAAAACCAAAATCAAAGTTATCACTCTAGCCAATCACAAAGGATACAGGCAATCCAGTGAACCAATCAAAATTCAAAGGAATTACATGTAGCGGACGCAAAGCGCGGGAAAACGAGTGTGAGTGAGTAACGATTCGTTCTGGTTTTACTTCTGATTGGTTGAGAACGTGACGCAATTTTTAAACCAATCACCAGCGTGATAAACCAAAACTAGCGGAAATGCGAATTACTTTCGACACTCAAGTGAAATCTGCTCCATAGAGCAGTCGTTGCTGACGTTATTGTTTATATTAACATATGACTTTACGTGGAGAAAGCATCATGTTAGGTTCGAATTGACTCAAAAATTTAAAGAGCTTGTGAAACATAGTAATTGGCGAAATTTTTGGCCCTTTGGGTATGATATTTAAGGAGAAATTAGCTTTAAAAAACTGCAAAAATTTCTTGGTGGCAAAAGCGCTAGTGAATGCGTACATTCTTTGTGAAATCAGGGTTGAGTTGTGTTTAACCCGCGCAGCACAAAAAGTATTCAGTGCATTGGGCTCAAATTTCGTGGGACAGCTAATCGTGTCATGCCCTTTCAATATTTAGAACTGATATTTTTGTTGCTTGATCAGAAATTGAATCGCTCATGCTAATTAGGAAAATATTACTTAACAAAGACTTGCCCTATTGTGAGGATGCAGCCTGTACAAAACATTTATGCCCCGTGAATGACTAGAATAGGCAAGAATGGGAAAGGAAACAGAAACCATTTGAAGAGCGAATAATTTTCTCAGTTGCCCGACAGTATCAAGAAACACATCAGTTTCTTGTGAAGATTTTAAGAAACCTTCAAGCTTTAATTTTATTTTTAAAAGTCTTAACGACTGAAAAATGAGAGGATCGCCGCAGAATTTGAATAGATATAATTGTCATTTCAATTCTCCCGGTATTTTGTTTTCTAAACACTTGTCGCTTATCGCGGCTCGCATGTTGCCAAAATAATTGGTTCGAGCTCTCCTCCTACTGTTCGGTTCTGTCACGTTTCCAGCAGAGAAAAAATTGAGGGATAAAATGTTTGTGGTTTAAATATTTATCGTAATTGGACAAAAACAGAACGTTTACATTCAAAGCTCGACTCAACGAATCCAATTCCTGGCAAACGAGCAAGTGCGATTGAGCTGTTAACACGGACGTTTTTTCACAACAAAACGTTTTTGCGGTGTTACCGCATATTTTTCGAAAACGAGCGAGTATTTTATTTCCACGGACGTTCGTGATATCGCCAAATTGTTTGGATAGAGTTTGCTCACCGAATGCTGAGAGAGAAGAGCATTTTTTAGGCTATTTTGTGGGTGGAAAGCAGACCAGCATGGAGTCCTGTTTCGTTGAAATTTAATGGCCCCGATTTATTCGTCTACAGGGCTGGGACTATTGGACATTCTGAGTAATCTAAGGTAAGAAATTAGATAACAGGTTAAAAATGTTTAGAGTTGGAAAATATTAATGCTAACAACGGTTCCCATATTTCTTTTTTGAGTGACAGATGATTTATGTAGCTTGCACTTGCTTGTTTCCAACGGTAAAAATTGCGAACCTTTTACTGACGAACCGGCAGTAGACAATCTTATTTATCTGTTCTACTAGTTTCAGGTTTTACTTGCAGTACTCTTCGGCGTATCAATGAGGAAGTGAATTCGTTGACACATTTTTTGGCACGCTTGTTGTGTTTTAAAGTAAGCATGAAAACCATAAGACCACGTACACAAGTTCGGTTAACCAATGACTGATAAACATCTTCAGTCTCATTACAATATCAGTTCATTTTCAAACTAAAAGATGAGGAGAATACAGAAAATGATCAATTGGCGGATATTGTCTTTATGTGCCTCCAAATCCTCAATTCTAGCATAAAAACAATGTATGTGAACAAGTAATGAGAATTCGAATTATGAGATGGGACCTCTGGAATAACTAGCGAAGTTTAATGAATTAAAGAAGTGATCAGTTTAATTTTACAGTTTGAGTTTTAAAACACTGATTTTTACTGCGTGAAATGTTGGCTGTCAACGAAGTATTTGTGTTCTACTCAGAATCCAACTGCGTCGGTCGCAAGATAACAAAGATAAGTAATTTATTTCGTGACTGTCGGGGGTGATGCACATTGAAGTTGCTGAAATATTCTGTGTGGGGTAATTTAACTCGCAACCCAGACTTCACATTCCTTGAGAGAGAACATCTGGCACAATGTTTTTCCGATCTTTAATGTGGTTGGTTGACTTGGTTTAATAGCACTTTGCCGTACCCTGCGCCCAGTTTTGAATGTTTTTCAAATACTACAGCACTAGCCCAGTCCACCCTTAGCCGGATAAATTTGAAAACGGAGCTTCCTCTCGACGATTAGGCCTACCGTTTACACTAAGCTTTTTTGAAAACACCAGCTTTTCGTTTTCGTGTGGATGGAAAAAAACATTTTGAAAACAGAACTCTTTGAAAACTTAATTAGGCACACGTTCCCTAAGCAATGAAAATCCTTACCCTACGAATAATTTCGTACCGCGCGGTTACTATTGCGACATCGGTTCAGCACTGCTGTGTAGTGAAGAAATTTTATTCATCTTATTGACTCTTTACAGGCATAACGACGATGAAGAGTTGTTGGTTCAACTTGATGTGTTTGAAGAACAAAGACTGGAAGATGAAGATGATCTGAGTTCCCCGGAGGGGGTTAACCTTACCTCTCATTTAGATGTGTTTCATGCCCTTTTTAGAAAGGTATGTTTTGCACTTTTGTCGTTTGCATTTTTGTGGTGATCTAAAAAAACTCTAGTGGAATGACCTCGGGATTAAGATCTATTTAAGGATTAACTCTCTTACCCTTTTGAGAGGCAGCGAGGCCAAGTGGTTCGGGCACCGGACTTGAAATCCGCAGGGCGCGGGTTCAAGTCCCGCTCTGACCACTTAGCTGGTATTGTTTCCCTAGTCCCTATTTCAACTCCTCGGTCATGCTTGTAAATAGCCAACTGGTTTGCCTACCTCCAGTTGGAATGTTTGAGCCTATTATGTTTATTTGAAATGTTTCTTTCTTTCAGTTTAAGTGGCATGCCTGAGAACTACCTAGTTGTAGCTAAGCGCATTGACCACCGTGACTAGAAACATTCAACATGTATCAACAATAACATGTAACCCTTGACTTTCTCTTAGCTTAAATTTGTGTGTCATCCGCACTAGGTCAGCAACAAACCTCAAGGTGTAAACCTGTTAAGTATCCTGCAAAACCTGCTTCTTATAGAAGACGATTCGCCTGTGTCGGACTCTGTTTGGGAGGTGATCGAGAAACTCGTCAAACGAGCTGTGAACCTTGAAAGCGCCAGCCGAGTAGACGCTCTCTTGGAAGCCGGCGAGAAAGAACTCGTGGGCTTAGAAAATGGAGAGACTTCTACAAGACAACGCAGTGCTGATCGAAATGATTCTTTTGATGAAAACATGAGCCAGCGGATGTCTGTGGCTCAACAGTCCACGGAAGATGTGCGTTCAGCTTGCGTACGTTCCGTCTCTGATGACGGCCCCAATTCTACACCTGTTGTAGCAGAGGAGGTGTTTGAAGAAATTCAAGCCTCGGCCACAGACACTGCATTAGAGGAAGCGTGCCCAGTGACATTTTTTGACGAAGCACCACCCCCTGCTTCGTCTGTTAAAATTCTTGAAGGCATTATACAAAGTAACAAAGAAACCGAGGAGCGGTCGTCCAGCCCTGATCTTATGCTAGACCTGGAAAGTGTAGCTATTGAACTTAGCGAATCCAATGCACCCCCGGCACCAGCACCGGCACCGACACCGACACAACTCCCTGGAAAATCATTAAATGACAATTGTCAAGTAGTGGCGAGTCAGGCAGAATCAACCCATGCCCAGCCTCCACCGCCACCACCTCCACCCCCTCCATTACCTGGACAAGATACCAGTTTTCCGTACGGGAGACCAGCCTCTCCTCCACCTCCGACGGAGACAACAACACCAGGAAATTGTGGAGTTCCTCCACCTCCAGCGCCTCCACCACCTCCTCTAGGTACGGGTGGGGTACCTCCGCCTCCTCCTCTTCCAGACATGGGTGGGGTGCCTCCGCCTCCTCCTCTTCCAGGCATGGGTGGGGTACCTCCGCCTCCTCCTTTACCTGGGATGGGAGGAGTGCCTCCGCCCCCTCCTCTTCCAGGTATGGGTGGGGTACCTCCACCTCCTCCTCTCCCGGGTATGGGTGGGGTACCTCCACCCCCTCCTCTTCCAGGCATGGGCGGGGTACCTCCGCCTCCTCCGTTACCTGGGATGGGAGGAGTGCCTCCGCCCCCTCCTCTTCCAGGGATGGGCGGGGCCCCTCCACCTCCTCCTTTACCCGGTATGGGCGGGGTTCCTCCACCCCCACCTCCTCCAGGAGCTGGAGGCGTGCCCCCTCCCCCTCCGCCTGGTGGGTTTGGAGTCAATCGAGGCTACCAGCAGAATGTGCAACGGAGTTACAGCTGTCCACTCACTCCCGCGGTGAAGCCTAAGAGTAAGATGCGATCCCTAGCGTGGCAGAAACTGCCTCCGCACGTGATACAGAGAAGCAAGACGTGTGTGTGGGCTCGTGTCCTTGCCCTGGAAGTTATCCAGCCTGATTTTCATCTGGAGGAGGAGTGGTTTTGTCAGAAGAAAGCGGGAGCCAAGAAGACGGAATCGAAAAAGAAGGAACCTTCAGAGGTAAGGATAGACGGGTACCTTATTCTTTACTGATCGTCTTTTAACAAATGGCGAATGAAAACAATGCTCAAACGGAGACTTTCCCTCGAGTTTCTCTCGCACATTAACTCGTTAACTCGCGTAACACCTCGTGTGCCATTTTTTTGTTCTTACCACATTTTGGCGTCATGTGTGATCCATCCGTGATCTATTACTGAACAGACGCACGGCAACATGGAATCTATCTGTAAATTAGTTAGGGCCATAAGGGTATCTCTACAAACCTAGTATTTAGTTCTGGGTCATGTCTTGAGCAAGAGAATGTTTAGTTGTAAGACAAATCGGTCTTATTGATGAAAGGAAATTTCTTGATTTCTTTTTATTGCAGATTACTCTTCTCGACCCTAAGAGGAGCCTAAATGTTAATATTTTCATGAAGCAGTTTAAAAAGTAAGTCTTTCAGCATCCTCTAATTTCCTTGTCCAAACAAAGAGCAACAGGTGCGTGCGGAGGCCAAATAACTTCGACTCCTGGTTAGGGTCTAAGACGCTTTACTCCCATAGTGCCTCCAGGCCTTGGCTGTTCAAGGGATGAACACTATCCATTAGTTGGCGCAACGTTTTTTATTTAGGGTTAGCAAAGCTCCCAGCAATGGAGAGAGCGATGGGCCTGCGTTTTTCAAACGGTTATCAAATGTTGTTTTTTTTTGTCTTTTTTTTCTGCCAGGACGAATGAAGAAATCGTTGCTATCATCCTCAAAGGAGACAGTAAGGCCTTTGACGTTGATGTCCTGAAAGCGTTCATCAAAATTCTACCAGATAACACTGAGGTCAGTTACAAATATCAAGATCTTATTTCCCTCTACAATACCACTGCATTGTCAAAAGGATAGGTGATGAGAACAAAGAAAACGATCAATAAGGGTACACTTTCTTTCGCTCTTTCGCCCATCTCCCCAAGCCCCTCTCCTTTCTTTGCACTCGCGGTTTTTCGCTCCTCAAATAACCGAACTCTCTAGAGAGGTCAGATGAAGCACCAAATTTTCATAACTAACAATGAAAGCGATGTATGGCAATCACTAAAGAGAACTGATATTTTGATCTTGGAAATGGAAGAGTTATTGTATATTTCAACCCATAGGGTAGGATATATCCTTTGGAAAATAACGCCCTTCAGTAAATTTGCATATAATCACTGTCCTTCGTGTTCTCAGAGAGAAATGCTTAAAGGATTTTCCGGAGATAAAACGCAGTTAGGATCAGCTGAGAAGTTTCTTTTGGCTCTGGTCTCCATCCCTGGGTAAGAATATATTGAAGTAATCTATCAAACACGAAAAACCGTGTTTCACCACATTTGCAAACACTGAGAAGAGAGCTGAAAATACGATGGAGTATTTTTGTCGAACTTTGAGATGTTTGGAAATGTGGTCAAAGGCTGTCTTAAGTGCTGCATGTATCGTCCCAATTGAAACTAAAACTTAGCAGAAAACGGAGAAATAAAATTGTAAAAATCTGTGCTAATCGAGATCACACATCTAAACACTGTCACGGTCGTGATTTCCTTTGTTTAAACTTATCAATTATTAATGAGTTGAGAAGTTAACTTCAAAGAAATGAAATCTCTTGATATTTGTTCTGTATCAGGTTGTTGTTGTGGATTTAGAAATGTTGCAGGATTGGTTTTAATATTTCGTCGTTTCTAACAGCTACAGCCTTCGCCTTGAAGCCATGTTACAAAAGGAGGAATTCCAGATAACACTGGAAACCATCGAACCGAGTATTGAAGCATTAAAGGGAGCGATAGAAGGTGTGTACACTGTTAGCAGATACCCAGAGATCTGCGCTTAATTCTCCCAAGGTTTTCATATTTTTTCTCTCATTTATTTGAGAGAAATAGGTCCGTAGTGAGTATGAGGCAAAC